GCTGTCATATGACACATGTGACTCCATCTCAATCAAAAGATAGATAATCGCTTTTTGTGTCTTTACATCCCCAAATTCAGCTTATTATAAATCTTTTTTTGAGCACTGACCAGCTGACAAATATAATATAATTGTTGTAGCATACCTATGGACGATAATGTGTATGCCCCCATTCCCATAAATACAGTAGTGAATACTGTACATGGTCTGCAGTTGAAAATTCATTGTGGAATTCACTTAACTCACTTCTAGCAGTTGACTACTTCTTCTACATGCTGCTGGTGAATCTTATATGTGTTGTTCTTGTTCTAAGTATTATCATTCATTACCAACCTTCATTTGATTATTCTATTCAGTAACCTTACTGAATAATACATAACAGATATAATAATGTGAAAATATGATAAATTAATAATTTAAAATATGAGGGAAAATTTTATAAAAAATAATCAGAAATCTTTAAAAAATTGTCTAGTTATATGATAAATGTTAAATAATAATCAGAAATTTAAAAAAAAAATTGTCATAGTTAATCTTAGTAGGGGTTCAACATAAATATTAACTTTGGATTCCATGCAAATTAATTTTGTTGCTGGAAATCTATTATAGTGAATTATATACTTATTTGTTCATTTTACAAATTGTTGACAGTAATCTTCAGTTTTTTTTGTGACCTTGTCACACAAGCCATGGACTATACCTCCTTCATCCTCTGAAAAGGCCACATACTGAGTGGATACTTGTGGACTGAAGTATAATAAAAACAAAACAAAACAAATGTTGATATTAAATAAGGGTTTGATATAGTCATAATATATTCATTAACTAACCAACCAACTAACAAGCTTTCTCATTTGGTTAGTTTGTAAAAGTCTTCATTGAAAAATGTTATTTTGGTGACAAAATTTCAGATGTAGTATATTGGTGAATTAAGCAAAAAATTTAAGAATGCATTCATTTGTTAAATGGATAAATGATGATCCTTTGAGATCAGAAAAGATAATATCAGGATAAGTAATGAAACAGTAGTTCTTTCACTCATCTCTATAATAATTTTGTGTTCCAATTGTATATTTTTTATTGCCACAGAACTATGAAGACAAGCTACCCCCACTTTCCCCTTCGGCTTTGTGCCACAATTTTGTATTTTCACGAAATAAATAATCAGAACTATCATTCTAAGGGAAATAACTTTGTAAAGATTGCAAATGCAAGGGAGACAAATGCAATTTCAAACGCTTGCTAAATCTTTGTAACAGTGGGGATCATTTAAAATATTTTATGTGATCTTTTTCTAAAATTTTCTTAAAAAAACCTGAAAACACATTTTAAATGATTTAAAAATGCCTTCTTTGAACTTAAATTTAGGTTCTATTTGAAAGATAATGGCCTATCAGAAATGGTTAATTAAATAAATCCGAATGAAATGAAAAATTAATTTCAGTAAAAAATGCTTAAAATAAATATAAAGTTTAACTTGTTATTTTTCCTTACTCATCGAGTTTGTATTGTTTTAGAAGTAGTTGTAACAAATTTTATGTTAAGTTTAGATAAATTCTTTTCAGTTGTAGTTGTGACATAGTTGGTAAATATTTATATATTTTGATTCGTTGGGTTTGTCAGAATGGTCTCTCTCTACTCTTTTAATTTGAAATATTTTACAAGCCTTTTGTTTCGCGTTGAATATGAAATAATAAAAGCTCTTTTCAACCGGAGTTGTAGTTGGTCGGTGGAACAATATATTTTGATACGTTCGGTTTGTCAGAAAGGTCTACTCATTTAATTTGAAATATTTTACGAGCCTTTTGTTTTACATTGAATATGAAATAATTAGGATATTGGGGAGCATTTTCAAGGCATGTCTGCTCTTTATGTAAATATTGAGGTTGTCGGAGTTAACTCCTCCTTCAGTTCGTAACCCTTTCACCAGGGGTCTCTCTTTCCTGGCTATAAATAGCCAATGACCCTTCACCTCGATCTCTTTTTCCTTTCAGGCCTGTGCACTGACACCTCGAGGTAAATTTCTCTTATTCCTAGAGGATTTCAACTATCAACTTCGAAATGTAGCCGCTAACAAGGAATAGCGTGGAAACACGCTAAACAATAATATACATACACGCACGCACACACAGAATATTCACACACGCACGCACATACAGAATATTCACACACACTTCGTCCATTGTACTGTTTCCATGTATTGTAACTTGTTAATAATATATATTTGTATATACATATATTATCGGTCTTGTTTTGTTTGCTTTCTTTTCCTTCTTCTTTGGACTTAATCAAAGTCCAACCTTTTTATGTAGTTGGGCTCGGCGGGCAGGAGTATCTGAACCTTGCGTTTCTTCTACGTCTGACTTCTATCAACAACAAGTGGCAACCGCCATTCCCACAACAAACCGTAACCGCCACGCCCCCCACTACAAGGTCTACACATTCTGCATGCTCTTAAACAGAATCCGATGATTATTCCGGATTTTAGTTTGTTGTTATAGTGAGAATAGAAAATTATGAGTTCATTTTTTTTCGTTGATTTGCGATGGACATTTAGTTTTAGGCTATTGCCGTCAAGGTGTGTGTGTGTGTGTGTGTGTATATATATATATATATATATATATATATATATATGTGTGTGTGTGTGTGTGCGTGCGTGTGTATGTGTGTGTGCGTGAAAATACAGATATGACTAAAAATATATCTGTAAAAAGACAAAAGAAAAAATTTATCTTATCTAAACACATTTCGTCCTCAAGGCAAATGTAAGGATTATATTTTACAACACGTATTTATACACAAGAGTAAAAATATCGTTAGTCTTTTAGAATTTTTAAATTTAAGAACGCTTATTCATATACTTTTTATAGTCATGCATATTGGCTTCGGAAAGGTGTATTTATTTTAAGAGAGGGGATATTTGAAAAAAAAAAATTATATTTTGGTAAGATTCGATAGCGACACTCTCAAGAATTTAGACGGGAAATTCATATATGACAATAAAAAATTATATTAAAAGAAAACGCTTCAATTCAAAACCTTCAATTAATTAAAATATATAACGCATAAATTAATTTTTGAAACTATAAATAATAATTGCATTCATAAAAAATTCAACAATAACAACAATTACTCACTATCGTTTATTAGACGTTAAATTAGATCCTTTTTAGCATCTTTCATAATTTACCTTGACTTTCAGTTGTTAGCCTGAAGTATATTTATGAGCGTTCTGAAATTAAAAAAATTCTGAAAAACTAACGACATTTTTACTTCTGTGTATAAATATTTGCTGCGAAAATAAAATCCTTACATTTACTTTGATAAAGTCTATCAGAGGGCGAAACGCTTCGGCTAAGATAGGTTTTCCTTTTGTTTTTATTCATATGAATCCAGATAAAATTCGCAGGTAAAAAATATCACAGAAGAAAAATCACAGGGGGAAATAATAACAGGACAATGTTAGCACTGTTTCACCGTCTTTCTTTAATAGACTTACTTTTTTTTTTTTTTAATCTATAACCCTAGTATTCATAAGCCTAACACCAAATAAAAGAAATTTCGTATCTCAGTGCTGTTGTGGATCAACTATACTTAGATTTGGAGAAAAATAATTTTTACGCCTCCTCCCATATAAATTATTGGCAGTAATAAGCGTAGTTCACAAATCTATTACAATGTGTTTATACCAAAACCAAACTTGTCACAAACAAGGTTTGACTTATTTCTAGCTACAATTGTGGTCTTATGATCGGACACAATTCATATATATATATATATATATATATATATATATATATATATATATATATATATATAGCACACACACAGTTGAACTGGAAAAATGAAATCAGCCTTGATAAAGAGGTATAGCTGAGATATTCAGTCACCCACCCACGAGGGTGTCATGCGGCATAAGGCCTTTTTTTTAATGCATTCCCGAGCCATTAGGCTCCAGCCAAAAATAGCCATTTGTCCAAAAAATAAAGGAGACTTCCCCTTCAGCGTAGAACACCGGAAGAAAACCGTGCAGTCGCTAAAAGTGAGCTGGACTGACTTGGTATAGCTGAAGAGGTATAGTACCTATATATTTCTGTACAGCCTGTGTCCAAAAATAAAGCTCCTGTTAGAACACAAGAAAAATTAAATGAAAAGCTAACCGTATATATATAAACATATATATATATATATATATATATATATATATATATATTGTTGTTGAAGTGTTACCTGATGATCCGAAATCCTTTAAATTATTGTAATGGTACCTTAAAAGTGGTCTGTTTTTCATATATATATATATATATATATATATATATATATATATATATATATATATATATAGATAGATAGATAGATAGAGTTGATGACCTAAGGGTGAGTTTCTCCGATTTATCTAAAATAAAAAAAAAAAAATCATTGTTACACTTTAGACACGTCCCCATCCTCCATATACATATTTGATTTCCCTTTTTACTGTATAAATTTACACTACACACTTGCATTTTCGTCTACATTCTTTCTTTCACCTCCCTTTCCACCTCCATTCCTATTACACCAAATGTCGTGCCTTTCAATCATCATACGCCTGTTATTTTTTTCAAAGATAATTATGTAGCGTCCTTTGTAGCTTTTTTTAAATAAAGCGTCAAAGAAATAAATATAAATATATCAACCTACACAACAACATAAAAAAAGTAAATAAACTAGTATAGTGGTTCTTTACTCTTTAGGCTTGATAACAATCTTTGAAAAAATATCATGCAGCACCAGATTTTTGCATTGTGTATGAATGAAACCCAAAGTTAATATTTATGTGCAGGTCCGTTTATTCAACTGTGAATCTTCGAATAAAATACCAATATCTGAAAATAAATGAATCCAGAAGTTATTATTTAGTTCACTTACAAACCAAAGAATGGAAAGTCTTTATCCTGTTAATGCACTCTCTCGAAATAATACTAGTAAAATGAAATCAAGATAAATGACATCGGAACGATATGAAATTACTAGTTCGTTATGGGAGTCATCAGTTGTAGTGGTGTTGACTCGTTTGTTGAACTGGGATATTCTCTTATATTGAAGGTAGAAATAGATTTAAATGATTAGCTGATAGGAGTTGAATGATAGGGCTTTAATTTCAACTCTTCTAATTAATAACTGCATTGTTTCTTTTCAGGTAAACTGACTTCTGACTGTTCAGAGTCAGAAGAAGTCTGTTTATCTTGTTGGTTAAAAAGTCAACAGCACAGATATGACGTCATCATCACTGCGATACTGCTTCGCAGCCAAATTTCTTTTAATGTTGGGGAACAGATGATAGTCAAATAAGGAGAATAGGGAGGGTGATTACCCAGTTCAAAAGGACAGTCGCGCACAACAGCTATTGAAACAAAGAACCCGTAAGCTGGGGAATTGTTCTGACGAAACAGGATACCTTTCACCTGTTTTTTTCTTTGTCTTGATTGCTTTTCGTAATTGTCACAGCAAGTTGGCACAGTACTCGTCATGATGTAGCCCTTGATGATAGTTAATAAACACAATGTATTTTGCATCCTAAAAAAAAAAAACTAAAGCCATCCATCACCATGAAACAATCTTGGCCATCTTTAGAAGCAGGTAGCGAGGGGTATTTCCATTGCATGGATTGTCTCTGGCTCAAAGTGATGAACTCATCATTCATCTTGCGTTAGGAAACATTCAAGGAAACTAGCTGGATCTACCTCAAACAATGTCACATTTTCCCGTGATGTGATAAGCCTGTGTACTTTTGATCAGGTGTCAAAAAATGAGGCACCTACCGAGCAGAAACCTTCGTCATGGCAAGTTCATTGTGTAGAATATTTTTAACCCTCTCACGGGATATACTAATAGCATTGGCTGTTTGATTTATAGTCAATCGCTTGCTAGCCATCACCATGTGGTGAACACGATCAGTTTCGTTGGTGGCAGACGTAGGAAGTCCAGACCTTGGGTCATCCTCAAGATCCTATTTTTTCCTCCTAAATCTAGCTGCCCAATTTTACACTGTTGATAAAGCAGGTGTGTTATTCCCTAATATGGCAACCGTGTCAGTATGAATGTCATTGGGGGTTAAACCTTTTTTCTCCAGGTTCTTGATAACACCACGATGCAAAATTTTGTCCATTTTCAAGAGAAATTATTGCTAGTTACTTTTGAAGCCTTTTTTTGAATAGTCAGATGTCAGTTTACCTGGAAAGAAACAATGCAATTATTAATAAGACGAGTTGAAATGCATTCAAGATTTCACAGCTCTAGCATCACTCCCTAAGATCAGCCGACCCTCGTAGTACTGGGTTACATACTTGATACTTAAGGGGTTGTAAATATTTAGGCTTTTGTATTTAATACACATTTTTCTTTGTTAATAAGAATGGATGTGGGGTTATTGTCAAGGAAAACCGAATCAATAAACCGTGTTTAAATGCCAGTGCAGCCTGCTGCGTTCACTTTCGCAAAAATTGCCCTTGCGGAAAACAAGAATCCATTCCATGGATCAAATAGCAGGTTAGTCTTGACTTTATAGCCTTGGATGGCACCCAGTCTAAGAGAAGGATAAATTCTGAATTTCAAACCGAGCAGAAGTCAACAGAAAACTACTCTATTCTCATTCCCAACAGGATATGGCAGTTCACAGATAAAAAAAGAAAAAGGAATCTGTGGAGAGTCATAGTCGTTTATGTCCAGAAGGGACGTCACTTCAGGGGTTCCGTAATCCATTAAAGTCATTAGGGCACCATATTTACTTCAGTCATAACAGCAGTGTTATGTCTAGGACAAGATAGTCAGATAGAGCTCATCGATCAGGCTGTTTTTTATTCAGTTTTCCTTCTCCTTGTCCGGTTGCCACCTTAAGGCTGGAGAGTTCAGTCAATCCTGCTATTTAACCCATTGCCGGTGGAGTAAGAGAAGAGATGAATTCATACCTTTCCCAATGATATTTGTATAAAAGCGAACCTAACGATCTCGGACTGAATTCGAACTCTGGAAGCCGATTTCTGTTTCGGAGTCGTTAACCGTTACACTATCCACATATTCCCCGGATGACCTTCGCATTTAAAAAAATACCAATGAATCAGCTTTTAAGGAGAAAAGGTATTTAGTAAATCAACAGTAAATATCGGTTTTCACAGCACGACATTTGGATTATCCACTGGCTTCTCTCTGCCTTCTCTCTGTCTTCTCTTTGCCTTCTCTCTGCCTTCTTTCTGTCTTCTCTCTGCTTTCTCTCTGTCTTCTTTCTGTCTTCTCTTTGCCTTCTCTCTGATTTCTCTCTGCCTTCTCTATGTCTTCTCTTTGCCTTCTCTCTGCTTTCTCTCTTGTCTTTTCTCTGCTTTCTCTCTGTCTTCTTTCTATCTTCTCTTTGCCTTCTCTCTGATTTCTCTCTGCCTTCTCTATGTCTTCTCTTTGCCTTCTCTCTGTCTTCTCTCTGCTTTCTCTCTGTCTTCTCTCTGCCTTCTCTATGTCTTCTTTCTGCCTTCTCTCTGTCTTCTATTTGCCTACTCTCTCTGTCTTCTCTCTGCCTTCTCTATGTCTTCTTTCTGCCTTCTCTCTGTCTTCTCTCTGCTTTCTCTCTGTCTTCTTTCTGTCTTCTCTTTGCCTTCTCTCTGCCTTCTCTCTGTTTTCTCTTTGCCTTCTCTCTGTCTTCTCATTGCCTTTTCTCTGCCTTCTCTCTGCCTTCTTTCTGTCTTCTCTTTGCCTTCTCTCTGTCTTCTCTCTGCCTTCTCTCTGTCTTCTCTTTGCCTTCTCTCTGTCTTCTCTCTGCTTTCTCTCTGTCTTCTTTCTGTCTTCTCTTTGCCTTCTCTCTGCCTTCTCTATGTCTTCTCATTGCCTTTTCTCTGTCTTCTCTCTGTCTTCTCTCTGCCTTCTATATGTCTTCTTTCTGCCTTCTCTCTGCCTTCTCTCTGCCTTCTCTATGTCTTCTTTCTGCCTTCTCTCTGCCTTCTCTATGTCTTCTTTCTGCCTTCTCTCTGCCTTCTCTCTGTCTTCTCTCTGCCTTCTTTCTGTTATCTCTCTGTCTTCTCTCTGCCTTCTCTGCTTTCTTTCTGTTTTCTCTCTGTTTTCTCTTTGCCTTCTCTCTGTTTTCTCTTTGCCTTCTCTCTGTCTTCTCTCTGCCTTCTCTCTGTCTTCTTTCTGTCTCTTGTTCACTTGAGCACATATTTCTTGACATATAAGGAGTGTCAATTGTACAGGCTAAAGGAATTGTTTTACGAACGATTGTCAACAAAGAAATAGATTGATAGTATGTTACACTCGTTAAATTTATTACTCCGTTCTGTGTATATAATGGGAAGTACATAAATGTAGAATTAACTTAAAACAAAATGGAATTTGTCACCCCATCTCAAAGAATAATTATTGAAAAAAAATCACGCATCTCTGCTTTAAATGTTTAAAACAAAATTCTACCAAACTGGAACAATAAAATTTTTATTTCCTTAGGTTGTTCGGAAAGTAATTAAATATTTCACCGTTACGAATGATGAGTCAACTAATCAAAACTGTGTCAAGGTTGAAGGTCGATTATAGTGAATTTCAGATTTTTTTTTGATTGGGAAAACTGACAAAGAGGGATTTTATTTGCTTTATAAGTATTTTCTTGAAAACCGAACATAAATTTCTATCATCTGCAACAGACTTTTAGCCAGAAATACCAACATTTTATTTTTCATCGCATAATCACAAGTGATGAAAAATAGGTTTGGCATGTCAAGAGAAAACAAAAGATACATTTGCTTTCTCAAATTGAGAAAGCCGTGCCAACATCAAATCCAGGACACGATCCATAAAAATGTCCGGTGGGATACGAAATTTCTCGTTCATTACGAGATAATGGCACATAGAAGGAGTATCACTGTAGACGTTTATTGCCAGCAGTGTTTTCAGCTAAACGAATCATTATGTCAAAACTGTCCTGTTTTGATAAATAGAAAATCTGCTACTCTTCAGTATAACAATACTCCACTCTGCAAAATAAACCAAATCAAAACAAAATCGTCAGGTATTAGGATGGAATATTCTTTCACATCCACCATACTTACCTGATTTAGTAACTTGAGAGTTTCTTTTGTTTCAATCATTAGAACATTCCATAATTGTCTGGGAAATTCTGAAACAAAGAAGAAGCTGAAAACATTTTTTCAAACTTTTTTCTTCAAACTTTGAACAGAAATGTTGCTTTCCTGCAGGGCTGTAGTCGTTAAAAATGAAGGTTTTTACATTTTCGATAAATAATACAAATTATCAAATCATATAATAATTATCAATGTGTATTTATTTATATATTTTCTGTTCCATTTGTACTTGGAAGAGCGGTAAATCAAAGTTAGTAAATTTATGAGTGATTACTTTCTTAGTCGTTTCATTAATCTTTATAAATATAATATTTATCTGCATTTCGACAAAATTAATTAGTTGCAGTCTTATTTGTTCAAGCCATTCATGTGAGACACTCAGCTTGTCTATTAAGTGTTCCAACTTGGTCTTGAAGTAGGCTTTGTCGTAGTTCTGTTGCTAATCTTTTTCTTCTGAGAGATATTTTCATTTTACTGTTATATTAACCATAACATTTTCAACCTGAAAAGATATTGAGCAAAAACTGATTTATATAATACCAGGAGTAATGAATGAATCATAGATAACATTGAATGTCTACAAAATATAAAGGGAACGATTCATTGGTTTCTATTTTAGTTGTGAATTCTTTATCCCCATTTTATTAATCTCAATACATTGTTTTAGGGCTTTTGTTTGATTGCATCTATTAAAACTTTTAACAATTGCCGTCATTATTGACGACACGGGTACACTAATTTATAATATATTATTATTATTATTATTATTATTATTATTATTATCACACACATATATATGAAGAAATATAGTTTTAAGGTGTGCTATATTTATGGGATAAAGTGCTCAATATTAGTGATAGAGCGTATGCAAATATAAAAGTCAACATTAAAGTCAACACTCAGACTTCAATGTTTACTTTTATACATACATTTAAACATATATTATTAAGTATAAGTATTATTAAGATAATGAATGTCTATTATGTCTGATCATGAGCCGTTCTAATGTTCGAATGTTTGCTTTAATTTCTGGTGAAAATAAAGACAAAAATTGTCCAAAATTTGGATATGCTTTTTATTAATTTGGCCCTAAGCTTTCGGCTCGCATGAACCATCCTCAGAGTTGTTATACAGACATGAAACAAAGATATCGACCGTCAAAGATGATATTTTGTTATTTTGACATAGAAGATTGCTATGCGACGATAACGGTCGTGGAATAGCAGACGCAGACTGTAAATTCAAGATGAGGTTCTATGACGTCATACCACGCGGTAGATTGACGTATTACAACAGAACCTATGTCTAGATGCAATGTAATGTGTTGTGACTAGTTTGAAATGTAATTTTGCTGAGTATCGGTTCCTTCATATATGTTTAAATAATGATCTGTTGACCCAATACACTAAATGCAAGTTATATATATCGCGCTTTCGCAAGTCGAGAGCGCGTGCATATATATATATATATATATATATATATATATATATATATATATATATATATATATATATATATATATATATATATATATATATATATATATATGATTCTGGATGTTGGATATGATTGTTTCTCCTCATCTTTCACAACGGTGAAGTAGGTTTTTACAAGGTGAGATTTCAATTTCTACTCAGACACTTTGTAAGAATGGACTTAGAATTGTTCTTTTACTAAACTGGAAAAGAACAGGCAAGAGAACCTAATCTTCATAACTTCATAGTTTTTTCAATGAGATTTAAACGAAGTGAAAAAAAAAAAGAAGGTTATCTCAACCAAAATTTCAACCCGGCTCAACAATTCTGTCTTAAGTGGTATTAATATCCGTTAAGCTACTCACCACACTTTAACTAATCGGGAACAATAATAAAACATTTAAATTTCCATTCAGAACTAAGCGGTGTAATCGTATTCGAATTTACTTAGGTTTAATAGTTCTTAGCCGAGATCCATATGAACCACATAACATTACTGGGATTCCACACAAGAAAAAAGAGCAAATTCGGGATCCACGGTAATATTTTAGTGGCCATAGAGCAATTTCACTTATGTTTACTTGTTACAACTGAGAATTGGATTTGTACAGTAATCGACCTCATATAAAATACTAAAAATATAAAAACAACTCTAAAAACTAGCAAAAAACAAGATCAAGTGATGTAATTTAGCGCCTCTTTTACTCTACCGAATGTTTTGATTGTAAAAGTTGAATAAAAACTGTGAAGGATATATAAAGGAAGGATTATATATATATATATATATATATATATATATATATATAAACTTGACGATTGCGTCTAGCATGAATCAGACTGTGTCGCCTATCTATCTATCTATCTATCTATCTATCTATCTCTCTCTCTCTCTCTATATATATATATATATATATATATATATATACCTATCTATATCTATATCTATATATATCTATATCTATATATATATATCTATCTCTATATATATCTATATATATATATCCATATATATATCTATCTATATCTATATCTCTATCTCTCTATATATATATATATATATATATATATATATATATATATATATATATATATATATATATATATATATATATATATATATATATCTATATATCTATATATCTATCTATCTATCTATCTATCTATATATATATATATATATATATATATATATATATATATATATAAATATATAAAGGAAAATTATATAAAGGATATACTTTTTTATATAAATTAATATAATGATAATTAATTTTAAATATTGATAACATAAAATAAAATATTAATATATTAATATAAATTAATTAATATCGTAATAGACTCGACATTGTGAAAAGGGGCAATCTTCGACTATCATTGCCATTGCTGGAGCCGAATATAAAAAAAAAAAACGCAGAGTAGCGTCAACCACAGATATCTCATTATATAGTTCTGGACTTTTTAAAAATTTTTTAATTACTCACATATTTTAAAATGGTTTTCTGAGTTATTTTACTAGTGTACATAAATTTTCCGTAGAATTTAGTTGTTGAATTCAAGTTTAATTTCATTTGTTATTTTTCAAAATAAAGCCTATACATTTACTATTTCTATAATAAAATTCATAAATTTATCAATTAGTAAAAAATAAAAGAAGCTTTTTTTTCATCGAATGGTTAGGAGGGGGGGGGGTCCACCAAAAAATAAAAAGAAAAAAAAAGAAAAAGAAAAAAGAGTAAAAGTGGTCCATAGATAAAAAAACCCCCAAAAAACTAAGCATTTTCAGATATTAATCCTTGACTAGTATTTCTTTCATTCTGTTTCTCATGATTTTACACCTTGTAATGTTAGTCTTCTTTTTGGGAATTAGGTAAAGTATTGTAAAGTATTCATTTTTTACTTCTTCTTTTAAACGCCGTGTCCGTTCAGGACGTAGGCGATAATGGCCCTCCATATCTTCTCGTTCCTTGAAGCTCTTAATAAGTTTTGTCTTTTTGCTATCTCTCCAAAACACTACCATCCATTTATTCAACCTCATCAAGTATGTTACACGCTGTTTTCCTCTGTTCCTCTTTCCTTCAATCTGTCATGTGAGTATTAGATTTTCCAAGCCCTCCTTCCTCATTATGTTCCCAAGAAATTTCAACTGCCTCATCCTGATATTAAGTATAAATTTCCTTTTTGCTTTCATTTTCTCCAAAACCTCGTCGTTGCTGTTGCTTCAATATCTTCTTCATCTTTCAGGAAATTGTCCAGCATTCGCTGCCATACAGGAGGACAAATACATAACACGTAATAGTTCAGTACTCTTTTCTTTGTTTCTAACGAAATTTTTCTGTCTCTTAATACTTTATTGTTTTTACGCATTGTTGTAAATAGTCTTAAGTTGCTTGAATATCTTAGATAAGGCATTGCCAGTTATTATTATTTTTTTTACTAGTATTTCTTTCATCTTAATTCAAGTTATTTATATTGCGATTACTATACCATCATTACACGATCGTTAATAATAATAACCACAGATAATTAAGTAAAATAGAACCGCGGATTTTAATTTTAACTTTGCAACTTAACGACGGCTTTACTAGATGAGCATCGACTCGGGGGTTATTGAGACATGGCGTCACA